ATAACCATTATGCTAACTGCTGGTCCCGGGTCTAGGATTTGAACCGCCGTTTCCCATGTGGGTGTCTAGCAGTTAGACTACCATACCACCTGCCCTAACCCCATAGATAGTTTCTGAGTTTCTGGATCTGAAGTTAAGCCAGGCCCTGTCCCAAGTCCTCTCTCAGCTGTAGGTGGTATGAAAGCCCCATGAAGGGGGACCAGAAGTTAGCGTAATGGCTATATCGCTGGATTCCCATGCAGTCGACCGCGGGTCAAGTCCCGGACACGGTGACTTAATCTCATGCCGGGCGCGTGTGCGTGCGTGCCCAAGATCCCGAGAGGAGAATGGAGGAGAAGGGATTGCGGTGTGGCCCTCCCCTCCCCCCCGGGGGGGTGATTTCTCGCCTTTCTGTCTCTCTGTCTCTGTCTTTCTGGCGAGCGCACGCGCCCTATAGCAAAAACCTCTCCAATTAAAGCAAGCTCCATGGAGGTCCCTGGATGGAGGTCCCTGGATTGTACAAGTGTCCCATCCCTGTCCCTCTCCTGTCCCCGCAGGCACCGCAGGTGGGAGCCCAGGAAAAGATGTCTCGGTCCTTGTTTAGTAACCGCGGCCCCGTCTCCCTCTCAGTCCAGATTGATCGCAAAGGTTACGCTCCAGGTAGCGGCGGAGGAGGCGGGTCGGGTTGGAAAGGGGCCGGGCCTCGGTGGGTGGAGACCCTAAGACCCGCCGCTCTGCTGCAGGAGAAGCCATCCGGATCTCCGCTGAGATCTTCAACGGCTCCACGCAGCCTGTGTTCCCTCGGGCCAAGGTGAAGCAGATGCAGACCTTCGTGGCGCAGCGCGAACGGAGGCATACACGCACGGTGGTGGCCCGTTAAAAAAAAAGGCGGCCGGTGCGGCGCGCCCGGCCGCTGCAGACCCCGCCTCTGTGTCCCTCTATCCTTAACTGCAGCATCCTCCAGGTGGAATATGTGCTCAAGGTAGAGTACCCTACCCCTACAGGTGCTGGGGAGTGGGGTAGCTTGGTTCTTTCTGTCCCCCAAACTAAGGTTCCACCCACCCCAAGGCTGGAGCTGGGACCTCATCCTCCCCTGGCCCCAGAGGGAGGTGATCTGGGAGTCTTTGCAGACGGAGGCTGCAGCTGCCTGAGCACCCTCCCACGTGGCTGGTCTCTGCAGGTGTGCGTGGACATCTCCAGCCTCTCCAAGCTGCGCCTGGAATTCCCGCTGGTCATCGGCACCATCCCTTTGCAACCCCTCTGAGGCCACTATTCCAAGGAGTAGCCTTGCCGTCTTCCTGCAGGACTGGGGAATGGGGACTGGGGACTGGGGACTGGGGCAGCCTGCCCCAGCCAGCTGGGGGAAGGTGAGCTCTCTGGGTGGCTGCAGGGGGGCTGCAGGAGACAGCTGCCAGGTTCGCTTCCCCACCAGGTCCCCATGTCATAGCACACAGTAAAGGCCAGCAGGTGGCATGGAGGCTAAGGCACCTCCATTCCACATGACCAACGGCACGGTTCCAGGTTCAAGCCCTGGGGGGAGCCCTCCACGATTTTTGAAAATCTCACGGGGCGGGTGTGCGAGGTGGGTGCCCAAGATCCCAGGAGGAGAAGGGATTGTGTGGCCGTGCTGCCCGCCTGGGGGGTGATTTCTCACTTTCTCTCTCACTGTCTCTGTCTCACTCTGTCTCCTGTGAGCGCACATGTCTTATGGCAAAAGCTCTAAGAAATCAATAAAAAAGAAAATAAATATTTTTTTAAACAATCATTTCATGACATTTTATTGATTGGTTGATTCACTTATTTGTTTTAATTTGACCAGAGAGAGAGAGAGAAAGTGAGAAAGCAAGCTGCCGAGTCGGGGACTCAAACCGAGGTCTGCCATGTGGGAGTCCAGCGCCCTTAACCACCACGCCACCTGCCAGCCCCCAAAATAAAATAAGTCTTAAAAAAAAAAAGGTGGCCAGAAGGCAGACAGATCATAGTGGTAAAAGCACCTGGACCCCACATGGCCCGTTGGAGGGTTCCAGACCTGGGCCTGGAAGCTTGAAAAATATAGGGGGGAGGGAGGCGTCAGCAGGTGGCGTGGTGGTTAAGGGCACTGGACTCCCACTTGGTGAACCACAGTTCAAGTCTCGGACCTGGAGGTTTCCTTTCTCACTTTCCCTCTCTCTCCCTGGTCAAATTTAAAAAAATAAATAAATAGGGACCAGCAAATGGTGCGATGGTTACATCACTGGACTCCCACATAGTCGACCATGGTTCAAGACCCAGACCTGGTGGCTGAAATTCACACTGAGTGCATGTGTGTGTCCATGCCCAAGATCCCAAGAGGAGAATCGTGCCCAAGATCCCAAGAGGAGAAGGGAGGAGAAGGGATTGCGGCGTGGCCATCCCCCGTAGGGGGTGATCTCTCGCTTTCTGTCTCTCTGTCTCTGTCTAGCGAACACACGTGCCCT